AGAATATCAGCTTTGTGAGGATCAAAACCTTGTCAGCTTTTTCCATTACTGTACATCCTGCACTTAGCACAGTGCCTGGAGTATAGAAAGTAGTCAGTAAATGTCTCTTGAATAACTGAATACCTCCCTTCATTGAGTACTTACTATATGCTAGGTTGCTAAGCTCTTTCTATACTTGAGTTCATTTATTCCTTACAGTAGTTCTATGTGTCATTACTCCCATTTTAAAGATGACTTTGACTCAAGTTCAAAGAAAGGAAGTCTCTTGCCTAAGGTTACATATCAAGTATATGGCAGAGTTGAGTTTAAAACCAAAGCCCTAGCTCTTACCACAATCCTATACTACCTTCCCTAATTTTAAGGGGGGAAATCTAACTCTTAAATGCAATACATACAATCTAGTGCTATCTACCTGTTCAGTTTCATCAGTCATTGCCCCTTACATTCTAGAAATACTAAGCTCTGTTTCCCTGAACATTTTGCTCCTTGAAACTTCAATGCCTTTGCAGATGTGGTTCCCTCTTCCCCAAGCTTTCTCCTGCCCTTCATTTTTAGAAAAAAAAAGTTTCTATAGTCTATTCACAGAAAGGGGTCCTCTTCTGGGACATCTGATATCTTGATATCTTCTAAAGACTTGATGTAAGCAACTGCCTTTTTTTCTTATTCACATCACCTTTCACTTTCTTCCTTTCCCTAGGGAGACCACAGTCAGAGAGGCTTGGCTTTACAACTCACCCACACAGGTCCTCCCATCCGGGGCCAGCTGGAGGCCAGGAGAGGGGCACTGGCACCGTATCTGTCCTTTGACAACATCACAGCCATACTGACAGTTTGCCATGGAGCACGTCAGGCCACCTGAAATGAGTATGACTGGCTGACTCAGAGAACAAACTCTACAACTGAAATCACTACGCTCTTAACCTGTCCTGAAATCAGCGACACTGACTCAACAATGAAGACAAAAAAAGGCCTCAATTATTCAACAGGGACCGAACGACTGTCTTCCTCCACGGATCAGGAGGATTACGAAGTGACCCAGCTCTGTTGTCATCTGGGGAAGGCCTCTAATGCATTTGAGGAATTCCAAGACAAATGTAAAGCTTAATCTCTTATAGGTTATCTGTAAATTTTCCCAGTGGCCAAAAACAGTGGAAAATTGAGGTTATTTCCCCCAGATTATTCATGCTAAGTGCTGGTCTCAAGTGAAGCATCCACATAATTGTGTCAAGCTCCCATTAAATTTCTGTTGGGACAGCAGATTTCCCACTGAGTTGGGCAATGCTAGAGGAATTGAGCATCCCTGTCACATGTGATTTAACATGAACCCACTTCATTCCAAAATGTCTCATGCTAAGTAGGCCATGCTAAAGAAAATTAGCTAACCTTTTTTATTTTATAAAACACAACTCAGAGAGAGATAGTGGATGACTGACTGACTGATAATTAGCTAATTTATCTGATAATTCAGTAAAAATAAAAATCAAATCACCGATTGTTGGATATCCTATACACACAACTTCAATTCAATGTTCAGCCTGCAGAGAATTTGATGGCACCATCCATCTTATAACACATCCAAATGATAGTAGTAAATCTACTTTTATGTTACTGAAATCATTCATTATTTTTTCATTTGAAGTGGATATTAATAAAAGGGATATAACTTAATCCTTAGACTATGACACTGAGATGTAAAATGAAGTGAGAAGGTATTTGTGAGCTGTTTATAACCGAACAACAGGCTTGATGAATTCTCTACCAGCAAATAGTTTAAAGCTCATCTTTATGGGCAGCACCATGGTCCTAAAAGAATCACTGATGCTCCCCTTCTAGCTGGAATAGCTCTAGGCCCAGAGTGACAAAAGGGAAAAACATGTTGGGAAAAACATAAGAAAATACACTTAGTTTTATTCTTCTTCTTCTAAAACCGTTTCCAAATCAATGTAATGCTGGCACCCAGGATAAAAGAATTCTAGCCATCTAAAAGGGGCAACCCTTCTTCTGATGTTCAATTGCTTAGGGACACATACAAACACACACTCCCATCCTGTCTGGGCGGCCACCTTCATTCTCACACCACCAGAGCACCACATGAAGGAAGTCAAGCCCACAGCACTTGTAAAACAATTAAGATTCTTGACATACTTGAGCAGGACCCATCCGGCATCAGCATGTACCCGTTGAGGCAGTAGCACTTGTAGCTGCCGTAAGTGTTCATACACCTGTGCTTGCAGGGTCGCGGCTTCAGGCCACACTCATTCAGATCTGAAAAGAGTGGAAGTTGAAGCAGAAAAATCACACAATGTCCGCACAAATGTAAACCATTTGAAATACTTCTCTATATTGAAAAAATGAAGACGAAAAGTGGGTCAAGCTATGGTAACCGGTTATTTACATAAGATGGAGCCTGTTCACACTGTCTTAATTTTAAGACTGGCTACACTAGGGGCAACCAAGTTTCCTACAAGAAGTGACTGAAAACCTTATAACAATGAAGAGGCCATGTGAGCTCCTGGAGCTTACGTTATATAGGACATGTAATTCCGTCCTCCGGAGTATACTGTGCCTACCGCATTGTCCCTAGAAAGAGCAGCATACTGACTCCTCGTAGTGCTCTGTCATCTATCTGACTTCAATATCCTCAAAATAGCTGGGTTCTACTCCTAGAGTCACTCTTGACCACACGTTCTTCCTCTATCGACTTATTCCCCTCTTTGTTTAAAGAAGATATGAGAAAATAGCCTGATTCTAACAGCAGACTGCTTTGAACTTCCCAAAAGAAAGCTCCATCTCCAGAGGCGAAGAGCTACATGAATGAGAGTGATGACAATCGTAGTTTTCCTTGTTCAGTCTTATAGATTATATACTGATCTTAGGTTAAAGAAGGAACTTCTGCTTCCTACTTTAGTAATGTACTCAAAATCACAAAATAAACTTTAAAAAAAACACAACCCTCCCGTATGTTTTCATTCATTTGGTAGTTAAGAGGAGCATATGGAAATACTAATGAATAATACATAATGGACTATCATTATGTATTTTAGGATTATTGGTTTAAATACCAATATGAAATTAATTAATAAACTGCACATTAGAATTTTCCAACCCAGTTGAACACTGCCTCAAGTGAACATAAAGCTCATAATGACATATAAACACTGCAATAGTAGTGCCCAAAATGTAGATTTCATTAAAAAGAAATATGACCACATGTTCATTTGGAACTGCCAGTATAATATAATGACCTATTAACCTAAGTTATCAAAGCAGAAATCTAGTTGCAAGTTTAATCTAATATAAATCTGACCTGCTGTTTATTAAAAATCTATATATTTCACTTAACTAAACCACCAACTTACATTGCTTTTTAAAACCTGCAAATTATCGCACCTAAATTTTTTTTATATAATTTACTGACTTTCCAACGGGGTCTTTTTTTCTAACTTTCACACACCTGTTAGCAGGTCCCCAGCTGGGTGAAGCCTGGTAAGATTAAATAATAGGCAGTTGTCACTCCCCAGGCTTTATTCAATTTTATACTTTATTGCATCTTGCCCAGTTAAGGCTGTACAAAACAGAATTGTATTTTAGGATAGTTCAAAAAAAGTTTTCCTCAAAGAAGATGCTTTGCAGATTGTAATATCATCAAAAATGTGACTTCTCCCTCTATTAGAGTGAAAATTTTAAATTAACAATGAAAGTAAAAGAAATTCATTCCACTTCTCATATTCTTCTACTTTGTATGTCAATATTTATTAAAAATTAAAGCTAGAAAATCTTTCCTCATATTCTCGGAGTTGATTTTTATTCCTCATATGTCCCTACAGATTCACACCTGGCTTTGATAAATCCCTGACTGATATTATAGAAGGTAGTATTTAAATCTGAGTACATTGCCAGACAAAGGCTTTGTGTTTTAAGTATTTTTCTGCACTAAACATAAAGAAAATGGTACAGTACAACAAGATAACAGAGTTGGGCCAAATTCCATATCTCAAGGGAAGGATATTTGTGGATTAAGTAAAAAATATAAATTAAAAACCCTTAGGTTTATTGTTAAAGAGACACAGAAACTTCTGTGGGTTTCCTGATGGGAACCGGTCAGGTATTTATAGCTCCAGGCAGCTTATGTGCACAGAGTATTTATGCTGATGGAGATTTCTACAGACACTGTCTCTGGACTAAAGCTGAGGCCCCGCTGAGGCAACCGCTGTCTTGGTCAATAAAGGGCTCTGTAGCATTGCTCTGCGGGACTCCACGATTCAGACTGGGGAAGCTGGTGCTCTTCAACCCCAATCGATCCTTCCCTCCCCGTGAGAAAAAGTACTTTGGGGTTAAGAATCACGAAATTGAAAGAAAATGAAACATCGGTAAGGTGTCCTAATTCCAAAAGAACCTGGGAATCACTCTGAAACAATATGCAACAAGGGAACATGCATCGTTCAATGGTGTGTGTAGAGACATCGGTTGACTATTTCACTGTTGTTAAATTGACATGTAAATATCCAAATATGTTGGGAGCAATCTGAGAAAGCCTGCTCTGCCGGCCGCTGCGGGAGCGGCTGGCTCTCCATGCCAGGTCCCAGGTGTTGAAGTTCACAGTGACTGCCCTTATTCTCCCACCTGCCACAGGCACCTGTCTGCTCAAAACTTCATAAGAGCCACTGCAAAAATGATGAAATAGGGTTCCAGCATAATCCATACTTATCAATATTTACCAAATACCAGACTTTTGCTCAAGCAGGGAGCTTCTAAAGATCAAAAGCATCCAATATCCTGGGGATGAACTTCTTTTTCCCCAATTTTTTGTCAGGTTTCCATCCTTGATTATTATATCTTATTTTCTTAGTGACCTGTTGCCTTAGAAAACTGAGTTAATATAGGCTGCTTCCAAAAATCTCTTAGAATACAGAACTGGTAATGCTTATGTTCCTATCAAATTAAGTCAGAAATTCAAAAATGACACTTTCAACTTATAGTAAATGCTCCTATAATAATAAGTGGAACAATATATATATAACATAAAAGTCTGCGTGATTACACTTTATAAATCTTAAAAGTTGATAAAGAAACCTAGGGAAAAAATCTTCAGTGTGTTTATTTTAAATTTATTTTAATCTTGCTCTTTCTCTAGGAGTTTAAAATGTTATAAATTAAGAGGGAAATATTTAATTAAAAAAATAATGAATTCTACCATGGACTTATCACACAAAGAACAGAACTTTACAAGTAAACCATTTACATTCAAATGATTTAATTATTAAATGTGCAATTCTTAAAGAGCATCTATAAGTCAGGAGTATACTTAAGCAGGTTGGTGGATTCAGGAGCTTGAGGGAGGGGGACAGGGAGAAAGGAGCTGGTCTAGAACAAAAATGCAAGCTGCATAGCATTATAATTATACTTCAGGGAAAAATAGAATAGAAATTTTATTAGCATGCAGACGCTGGAAAGTAGCTTGAAAATCTCCAAGAGATTCACTACATCAGACAACCCAATAGGGATTTTTTAAGGGAAAATAATTATTTGTTTAATGCACTTGCACTTTTTTTCCCTTTGAGACTTAAACTGGGCAATGACTCAAAAGTCTAAGCTTTTACATTTTATCTGACTAAAGTGGAGGTCAGAGGGAAACAGATGTCAATATGTCAATGGCCATCACTTTTAAACTTTGAAGATAGCAGTGACACAGTGACTGCGATTAACCCCATGGCCCTGATTCTTTGTGCAGAAGATGTACACGCCCATCAAGTCCCCCATCAGCAGAGAGAGAGAAATTTCTAATTTTTATGATTTTAATTCAGGCATTCTATGTTCCTCAATCTATCAGTGGGTGAGGGGTAACTTTTTTTAGGAGAACTGTAGAGGCATGCAGCCAACTAACCTTCTTACGAAACTTTCCAACGTTATGAAGACACTAATATTTGGGGTGTTTCCATTCTCACAGCAGCCCTGCAGGTAAACAGGGCAGGAATTACTCTCCTCCTATCACTAACTGTTTTGCTAACACCCAGACACATGACATGACTTGCTCCTTACGGGCTGTGCTAGAAACAGAACTTAGGCTTTCTAATATTAGAAAATATACACGAAATGAAGGAAGCTAATGTATGTTTCATTTCTGGTAACCTAACACACTACACCCTAAGGATGGTGGTGAAGAGGGCTTGCTCACTTCTAAAACCTACTTAGCAAAAGCCATCAAAACCCCAAGCTCAGTTGCTCTGATATTCCTGACTTCATCTACGTACAAAAACAAAAGTGATTTTGTTATGTGATTTTCAGAAAACACTTTGAAGCCCAGAAAAGAAGAGGAGCAACGACACTTGCTGCAGTGAGAGGACAGCAGAGGCTCCAGACAGCAGAGCACAGAGAGTCTGCGGCAGGCGCCGGCCCCGCTGCCTGCGTCACATGCTCAGTGCTGAGGCTGGGCGCTCTGGGGCGCGTCTTCGGAACAGGTGCAAGAGGTGACACACCGCGGGAAGCCGTGCAGGTAGGAGGAGCAGACCCCCCGAGACAATGCACGCTCACCCCTTGAAGGTAAACTGGTGGCTTGCTGATCCAGGGGTTGGAAAAGAGGCTGCTCACTGCCTTGGTCAAGAGGAGTTGGGTAGGAGTGCTCGTCTTCACACCAGGAAGAAGGTAATAAGAGTCAACTTTGAACTGATGTCATTTTTAGCCCTAAAAATCTTTATAAGTATATATTAAACAATTACATCAAGTTGGTGGAGTTCAAAAAGAATACTTTACCAAAGTTAGTTTCTAGTTTTTCCAGTTTCTCTCTCTTTTTTTTAAATTTTTACTTTCCTGAAAATTTGTCACCGCCATCTTTCTTCCCAAGAATACACACACACACAGTACAAGTTAATCCGTCATTCTCATACAGATTTAATGGGGGAGGGGGGAAACAGTAAAAAAGAGATAGTTATTTTTAAAAAAACATGATTTTAATCAACAATGAGAGAAAACTAAAAGAACAAATAAACAATGATGATACAAATATTGATTATAATCAACCTGCTGTGTGTCAAGATCCTGAAGTCTTAAATGACCAACTTATGACTTTTTCTTACTATGTTGCACAATAGTTTAAAATACTCCGAAATTACACACAAAGTTATGATTTACATAAAGACTTTATTTAAAAAGATAGCATGATCAATGTTTTCACTCAAATATAAAAACTTATGTCACATTTAGGTCACATTTAATTAGAATATCCATAAGAAGTTTTCTGCAAAAAAATTAAAACAAAATAAAGTAACTGTTCCCATGGTTAGCTTACTAAAAATATTGTGAGATGGGTGAGATTCAAAAGTAGAGAGTCAAAAAGTCACTCATATCCTATTTCAAGACAATTACATTGGTAATAGTCAGTTAAACTTCCAAATTAAATGAGCACTGGTGTCTGTGTTAAAATCACACAACCTTCAAAAAAGTAAGGCTCTAAGAAATTACCTCGATATTAGGGTTAATACATATAGGCTGTTGTGCTGAGAAAAGCAATCAACTCTGAGAATTAACTAGTCCACCAATGTTTACTGTCTGATTATGTGCTACAAGACACTAATTCTTTTCTCGGGATAAGGAATTCAACATATGACACATGAACCATGTCAAAACATTAGTAACTGATGTTTATAAATTGTTTCTTCTGTACTCGTTATAAAGCCCACTATGAATTCAAAAGAATATCTTTCCTTAAAAAACTGCAATGACATGATATATTCCATGCTAAAAATAATTCCCTAGTGGGAAAGTTATAAAAATATTATTATCTCTAATAGTATCCTTTCTTGGCTGAGGTGGAAAGGGGATTTGTATGGGTACATAGAGACTCAAGGAGGGGGGAAATATGCAAGAATAAAATTGCCAGAGAAAGTAAGATGGAAAAAAAAATCTTGCCAGAGTTCTGGTTAGAATTTCACCTACTGTGAAAGATACCACATACCTTATAGAATATGACAATGATCAGTCCAAGCCTATGGTTTTATATGTGATCCGACTATAGCAATCCAGGAAATGACTGGAGGGGGAGCAAGTCACCAGGAGCAGATTATACTAATCTTGCGACAGGCTATTAAATGAAGCCAGTTCCAAAGTGGGCCTGCCCCGCTATCTGGCTGCTCCCCAGGCCGCGCCAACAGCGCTCAAGTGCTTGTCATTTACTCCTGCTGTCCATGCAGCCAAGCAAGCTCCCAGGGAATGACTTCTTAAAGTACACAATTTGCAACAAACTTTTTATGCAGATCCATGCCTTATACCCAAACCAACTTTTAATCAAAAGCTAATATCTAGTTCTGTGAAATTATTTCAAGGTACCTCTTCTTGACATGTCTCTCCTCAAGAAAAAAAAGAAACTTATTTAATTTCCTTTATGTTTTCCACTTTATTAAAATGTATGGTCCAGATCAAAAGTCTATGCTACTTTGTTATGGAGACATAGAGCAGGTTTAAACCATTTGCTCTATCAGCGTTTCTGGGGGTCCCTCGACAGCTCTCCGAGTTACCCCGCTCACTCAGGGCAGCTTCTCACAGGGCTCGTAGTCCACAAGGTAAAGGCTAAGGTACCAGACACCTCCATGGGAGTGTTTCAAGTTCCTACAGCTTTCAGGACCAAGAACTCTTGTATGAAACAGTCACTCACTTAATAAATATTTACTGTACACTAATCCTGTGCAAGTCATTTTAATAATAGTTTTCAGGAACCCAGAAATTGGAGAGACAATACAAAGGGTTCCTGTTCTCAAAGGGCATACTTCTTTCCATCAGGAACTTGCCTAATTGCTGTTTTGGTAAGGAAGGCCACAAGAAAGATGAATGAAACACATTCATCTTCACTGTAAGCTGGAGCTTTCTATTCAAGATTGGATTTGAAATGACATTTTCAATGTCAGCACAGTTTTTGCAGGTGTAAAATCCCATTTTGCTACTAATAGAATCCTTTTCCCCCTAAGGAACAGAGTTTTGGGAGGCAAGATTTCAACTCCATATATTTCAATTTTTCTCTAGAATTACTGAAAAAACAAACAAACATCCAACTGGTTTTTCTAAAAACAAGTGCATGGTGAACTCTTTATTCTGATAATAAGTACATGGTAAACTGGTTTTCTGAAAATAAGAGATACTCAGAGATGAATCCTTGTTCCAATAATAGCTTGAGAGTCTTCTGAAGCATATTAAAGTTGATGATGCTCTGCAAATTAATTTAAATGCATTTTCTCTGCAATCTCAATGGCAGCTATTTGGGATAATCTTCTTTGTATAAATTCCTGGCATCAGGACAAGAAGTTTTATGATGTGGACATATTAATGACATCTCTGATGGTTTGTGTTCATCACTTTTAAAGAAGAAGCATGCTGGGACTCTAAGATGAACACTAATAACTCAATAATTAAAACCAAACATGCTGCTACTTGAGAAAGACAGAAGAAGGAAAACCAAATGGATTTTTAAAAGAGTCAACTGAGGTAATAAGAACCCCATTTATTTAAAAAATACTACCCAGGCATGTCAGGTAAATTCCAAGTTAAAAAAACATTATCTGAAAAGAAGCATTGAAAAAACTTGGCTACCAATCAAGTAGCAGATAATCTAGAAGACTCTAGAATAACAGCTTGTCCTACCATTGGACATGTCACATTTTACTAGCATGGATTTCATCCAGCAGTGCAGAAACAATTAGCTGTACCTTCAAACACCAGTGTTCGGGATGTTGTGAAAACTACGTCGACAAACACGAGTTTATAGGCACACCTCAAGGAGTATCAGATACTGAAGAACAACAGTGCTTCAACAATATAATTTCTTTATCAGGTGAGGTCAAGTTCATAGCTTTGAGAAGGTTAGACCCCTACATGATTGTTTCATTTGACATTTAAAATGACAGGGAGTATTGCTTTAAGTAGTAAGTTAAAAACTGACTATTTTGCCGAAACCGGTTTGGCTCGGTGGATAGAGCGTCGGCCTGCGGACTGAAAGGTCCCAGGTTCGATTCCGGTCAGGGGCATGTACCTGGGTTGCGGGCACATCCCCAGTAGGAGATGTGCAGGAGGCAGCTGATCGATGTTTCTCTCTCATCAATGTTTCTAACTCTCTATTTCTCTCCCTTCCTCTCTGTAGAAAATCAATAAAATATATTTTTTTAAAAAACTGACTATTTTATCCTTGTATCTTTCTAATGAATTCTAACCATACATTTTCTTTACTCCTGGGGTTTTTTTTGTTTGTTTTGTGTGTGTGTGTGTGTGTGTGTGTGTGTGTGTGTGTGTTTTTTCTCCTAATGGTAGAAAGTTTTTGGTTAAAAAGGCAAGCCTTGTCAGACTTGTGAGCATGAACCAGAGGGTCACATTTCCAATATGTTCTTCATCCACAACTAAATTGGTAAAAAGAACATGAATTCTATAGCCAATAGCTCTAAGTTGATATAGTAGGTCATTTACTACCTAATTCTATGAACTTGGACAAGACACTTAATATCCCTTCAACTAAACAATGAATATGTTATTTCTAATAACTTGATTATAATAAATACTCTGCCTCCTGATGTTGTTGCAATAATGAAAATATATGTAAAATACCTGGTGTGCTCTTAGTGCTAAATCAATGTTTGCTTTTATAAGTAACTGATGCCAATTAAAAGTAACTTGCTAAGTCCATCAATATCTTTATTTCTCAGAAAATACAAGCTTGTCAACAGTTAAAGGGAATTTAATCACAACATAGAAGGGCTCAAAGTTTGAAGGGACCTCAGAATTTCAAATCAAGCTTCCTACCCGACTGTGAGTATGAAGGTCTTTTCACCAAATTGGGTCCAAGGAGCCTAATAAGACTTCTCCACTGGTTAGTGGCAGAACAAGGAGCAGCAGAAGGTAAGGCTTCTAACATTACTGATATTGCAATTCTCTCTTTCAAAATGCATTTTAATTATCAGCAGTGAATGAGAAGATGAAATTCTTTTCATTGTCCTTCGATGAAATGAATTCTAAAAGATTTACCATTATTATATTTCTATCTTTCAATAAATGCAGCTCAAATATGCAGAATAATCGTCATGGAAAAGGGGCCCGGCATGAGAACTTAACATTTTTATATCAGGCAGGAGTAGAGGGAGCTCATGATTGTTCACCGTGTCACACTCTCCCTACCTTGATTGCAGGTTTTGCCGGCATATCCAGGATGACACTTGCACTTGTTTGGTCCAATACATTCACCGTGTTTGCACTGTGGTTGGCACACAGCTGTGAAAAGAGAATATCATGCATTATTTCTAGATCAGCAGAACATCAACCATATAGTATCTACATCACGTACTAGCTTAGTAATAAAAAAAAAAACCAACAACTTAGAACATATAAAAAGTAGCAGAAATATACAAAATCACTGTGTTCTGGATTGGTAAGCACTGTCTAAACTATACATTAACACACCTGTGTTATAGTCATGTGTGTGCGTGTGTGTATCACTTTGGGCTGAAAAATTGGCTGAACTTGAGGTCATTACTCAATAGTCAGAAAAATATGTAAGACTATGCATAAACACAACTGGTGTTTGTTAATAGTGTTAACTTTGTAATAACCTGTACTCATAACTTCAAACTCATTCTCTCAAATACACTGAAGTCCGTCCAGTGTGGCTCAGAGGTTGAGTGTCAACCCATGAACCATGAACCAGGAGGTCTCGGTTCCATTTGGTAAGGGCACATACCCGGATTGCAGGCTAAATCCCCAGTAGGGGGTGTGCAGGAGGAAGCGGATTAATGGTTCTCTCTCATCATTAATGTTTCTATCCCTTTCTCACTCTCCCTTCTTCTCTCTGAAATATATTTTTTTAAAATACATTTCAAAAAGTTGTTCTTAATCCAAAGATATTGTTTAACTACAGATAAATTGTTTGAAGTCCAGATAAATTTCCAATTAAATAATAAAATACTATTTTATTGGAAACAGTATTCCTAAGTATAAAATGGTTCAAAATAAACATTGCAACTCAATCTTTTTTGGTATTTCAATTTAAGAATACCTCTGTCATGTTGCTTTTTCTTAACCTTAGGTGGGTTGCAATTGCTCATCAATCTAAAATGGCTTTTCTATAGCCTATCACAGCAAATAAAAATATCTATTTTTCATTTACTATCTTCTATCAACTGAGTCTGTCTTTCCTCAAGACCCAAAAATGCTACAAAATCATCATTTAAATTTTTCACAGTCTTTGATTCCTGCCAAGATAATGCTTAGAATTTTTTCTGTTTACTCTCTATCAGTGATTCTCAGCTGCGGCCATTTCTCCCCCCATGGGACAACTGGCATAAATGGAGACATTTTGGTTGTCACACTAGGGAGAGTGTGCTCCTGGCATCTAGCGGGTACTGTTAAACATCTTACAATGGTCAGAGAGCCCCTTCCCCCTAAGCCCCCCAAAATAAACAAACAAACAAACAAATTATTCAGCTGAAACTGTGATGTTGCCAGACTGAAAATCCTTGCTCTGTACCAAATATGTGCATGGGGCTATGCCAGATACTAGAACAGAGAGAAAACATTGTATAGCGTGGTCACTGGTGTCAAAGAGCTTATAGTCTAGAACAGTGGCTCTCAACCTTCCTAATGCCGCGACCCTTTAATACAGTTCCTCATGTTGTGGTGACCCCCAACCATAAAATTATTTTCGTTGCTACTTCATAACTGTAATTTTGCTACTGTTATGAACCGTAATGTAAATATCTGATATGCTATGTGTTTTCCAATGGTCGCAACCCACAGGTTGAAAACCGCTGGTCTAGATGAAGGGACAAAACAAGCATTTTTCAATGCTTTAATTTAAAGCAACATTTACTTATGAACAAAATAGGTGACACATACAAAATTTGTAAAGAAATCACACAAGCATATCCATATAGATATGTACAGAAAGCCTTGTAGAAGAGGCTTGAGTTGGATCTTGAAGCTTGGATAGAAAGAAGAGGGAGAATACTACCCAAGGAGAATTGTGCAACAAAATAGGGGACACTAAGGAGGCTTGGCAAGACAAAAATGTGTGTGTGTGTGGGGAGGGGTTGGGGGGGGTGAGAAATGCTGGTAGAAGAGTGAGAAGTAGGCAATCATGGGTGAGCGGTATCAGATGATGACGTTCCCTCAATTTCAGACAGAGGAACATACACTTTATCTATAGAAAATGCAAAGTTGAACACCGTCAGTAAAGTTAACAGATAAAAATCAACACTCTGGGAATATTAGCCTGGCGATAATATGTAGAAAGGACTGGAAAAAGTCCAGTTGACATGAGGAAGGAATGATTTGTTTTTGAGACAGGAAAAGACGGGCTTCAGTAACCAGAGTGAAGAGCTGACAAGTCGTAAAAACCAGAGGGAATGGGGTCAGCAGTGACCCTGAGTTCTCAAGTCCCCGACACCTGCTCCTTCCCCTATTGGCCCCGGCTGTTCTCTATTCTGGGATATGCTCCCAGTTTCTGGCAATTCTCGAACATCATTTCCTTTAAAGCTCTATTATTCCTGTGAAACTGATGTGAAGGTTATTTTTGGTGTTTTCTACACTTCCTGACTCACCCTCCCTAACCCTCCCCTCACCTGGATTCCATAGGCCTATTTGCCAATTTTACTCCCCGGTTTTTTCTGCCTACTTGTCACTCCAACAGGACCCAGTACCACTAATGAGCCTTAGACAGTGCTGCTCAGTAGGTATTTAATTTGAAAGCTTGCAGAAGTAAAGAAGGAGAAAAGTGGACAGTATACATGGTAGGGAAATGTGCTTGTTTAAAATCTGATGTTAGACATGGCATGAAATTCAAAGAGAAGCCATTTTTTTTTCAGAACTGTAAAAATAAATGATCTAGGAGTGCCTTCCAATATAATATTTCAGTCAAGTGTACACCTGATAGATGGTTTAGATGCAGTTTTCAAAACAAGTCCCACAATAAGCCATTTTTTAATGTAACTTTTAAGTCCCATCACCAAGAAATGCAAGTTGAAAAGAACTTTTTTTAAACTAAAAAAAAAGATTTTCCATAAATCTTAACAATTATATAGAGAAACAACCTGCATAAATCAGGTATCTGTGAGGCACCCAGATTGCTATATTAAAAAACAAAAGAGTAAAGATCTCAAAAGCAGTAAATGTAAGTCAAGGTAATCACCTCTCAAAATAAAAGGAATTTGAAAACATCTCTAAAAACATGAAAATGTAGTTTAGAAAGTACCACTTAAAAACATGAAAAAGTGTATTTGCAAGAGGACACTTTATGAAATAATTCCTCCTGAGGCCCCAGGCCCACTGCCTTTTGACCCCCTGACCAGCCTGATGACTATCCATTTATAGTGCTTTCAGGCACTTCACAGGAACAAACGTTTCTATTGTCCCCCTCCCTCTCCTTGTTTGTTCTCCGTGGAGTGCCCTAATCTTGGGCACATCAAATGCACACATTCCTGGAGGCCAAGGATGTTCATGTTTCCTACATGTGTAGGGAGTCAGTATTTTCAAACTGCTGTTTGCACGTCTATCCAACAGACTATGCACCAAAGTAACCAATGACCTATTTATTAGTCAACAGCTATTAAATGGGATAGGGTAGTCAAAGCTGATATAACCATTTTGTCCTCTTACAAAAAGAAAGTGCTCTTTAAAATGCTGTGTAAAAGTCCTTTCTCCTATTACCTTCCTGGCATGAGTCTGCAATGGGATTCAATAAATACGTATTCAACATTTGTTATATCTAATGTAGTCTACTAGCCAAGTGTGGATGAAATGAGAGTCACAGAGGATATAAAAAAATAACTATGAAACTGTGATACATTGGCCAAAACTTAACAAGAGCTGCGACAGAGAGGTGAGATAAAAGGGTGGGGGGGGGCAGATAATAACTGACTAGGTTCTGGAAAAGCCCCCTGCAGGATATGCAATCTGAGCCATGCCTTAGAGGTAACTAAGAGGCAGAGACACTAGGAAGGGGGACGGAGCCTTTGAGAACAGGAGTAGAGTACTGGGGAAGGACAATGAAGAAGGTTCTAGAGAGCTAAGGGAAGCTGTCACGTGAAGCTGTCACATGAAGTGCTTATAACAGCAGATGGGAACAAAAGACAGGCTAGGCAGATCATGAAAGGCAGAAACTGCCCAGTGCTTACAAACATGTGTTTCCTTCTTCTTTAAAACAGACTAGCTTGCCCTGACCGGTTTGGCTCAGTGGATAGAGCATCAGCCTGCGGCCTGAGGCTCCCAGGTTTGATTCCAGTCAAGGACATGTACCTTGGTTGCGGACACATCCCCAGTAGGGAGTGTGCAGGAGGCAGCTGATCAATGTTTCTCTCTCATTGATGTTTCTAACTCTCTATTCCTCTCCCTTCCTCTCTGTAAAAAAAAAAAAATCAATAAAATATATTTTAAAACAACAACAAAAAAACCCACAAAAAACAAACTGGCTTTTTTTTTCCATGAGGGGATGAGTCCTCCATAGCGTGTATGAGTAGCCAAGCAACCAAATTCTGGCCAATTACATGTGAACAGAAGTTACAGGGAGGGGCGTTTGCAATGCCACCTAAAAAGGTCCTGACTAGTATGCCCCTCTGTCTTCTCGCCTGGAATACAGATTTCACAGTGAACTACAGAGGCCACTTTGTGACCACAAGGTAACCTTGAGAATGAAAAAGGGGGCGGAGCAAGATGTCATAACATTAACGCTAAATTGCCATCCGAGCCATCTGGGGACTGTGCTTTGTGTCACTGTATTTGTACTTGCAGCCAAATACAGTTCCTAGCTGACCATCCTTGAGCACAAGCTGTGGAATCTGGACTTAATGTCCTCGTTATCAAGTTGGCACATATTTTCTCTGGACACACACACACTGCACAGAAATGAGCCGGTCCTAGTAAAGCAAGATAATTTGTCAAATTTATTTCATATATAATGCCGTAAAATTATAGAAGTATCTAAAACACGTCACTTCTGTATCTAAAGAATCAGACTAGAAAATACATATCCATAATGACACTGGAGGAAAATAATTCCCAGCTTCTGTGCAAACTGGTCCACCCTTTGAGAACCGACTGCACTGTAATGTGAGCTCGCAGTATCTGGCCAGCACACACCAACCTTTACAACCTGCAGTGGATTGCAGGCCAGGAAAAAAAAAAAAATGTGATCCTTCCTCGTGGTCCATTTTGGAGTGTTCTAAAAACATCAGAAATAGATAATACATTTGATTTGGAGGAAAGACCATATCTGTTGTTGC